GTTTGTTATTCTAAATGTTACTTCTTGGATTACTGGTATTTCAGGTGGATTTAAAATAACTAATTCATTAATGCAGTTTAAACGCTCTGTCCATTAAAGCTATAATTACAGATATTTTATCTATATGAATCATAACTTTAACTCACTAAATCATCTAAACTACTAAATAACTTTAATAGACGTCTCTTAAACAATGTAGTAATGAATTTTTCAAAGAAAAAATTAAGCATTAAGCTAGCCCTATGTGATAAAAATAATTATCCTTTTAAGTTCGTTATTAACATCATAAACATACAATTCGTTACTTACTAAATCTACAAGCATTAACGATAATCCGAAAAACTAAGACAATCCGAGAAACTACTTTGCGACTGCGGAAAATGCAATGTAGGAGAAACCGGAAATATGATCACATAAAAAACAAAAAATCACCTGTCAAACCGTAGACCAACGCGAACGACATGAGGCAACAGATCACCCAGTAAGAAACAAACTCTCCCCCTTAACAAAGTCAAAGCACAGTGTAAAAAAGCCTTGGGAACCATGCATCAAGCCGGAGAGAAATGCCACCTCCTAAAATGGTAAAATTGCGCGGGCATCGTTATAAAAAAAACTGGCAGAGGAGACGAATCAATGAAGTTTTAATTATCCAATCCTGTGAAATGTCAACCGGAAAAAAGGGTACGAACATTGAGCAAGCTGGACAAGTCTGTGATCCATAAACGATTTAACAAGCAGTATGGGCGAAATGCACATTTGTGGTACCAGACACCATAATAGCTGTGAACTATAAAACCAACCTGGACCACCCTGAAGAAGGCTCGTGGGAGACGAGCCGAAACATTACTCGATTGACCTACTTATTCGTTTGCCTTGTGTATAAATAAACCGTTTTAGATGCTATATATAGCGAACAAAATAATTATAATTAATGGTCAGAGTTCACGTTCATCACGTCAGCAGGATAATTCCTCTGAAGGTAAGCGTTAAGTGATGGCGTCATTCAGCTTTCTACGCAATTAACTATGGTAGATGTTTATTTACGGTAAGAAAAAAAACAGAAACAACGCTCAAGTTTGTGCCATTCTACATGTCAGCATCTGACACAAAATGGGGTCAGGCAAAAAACTTCTATTCCAGCGAAGCCTTGCGGTACCAAAACCTGGCGCGGAAGTCATCGCTGCATGTTAGAAATGCTGGTTGCGTGGGTGAGTGAGCGAAAGCCCTCACCGGAGCTGTATGGCCTGAAAATCAGTTAATCATCCTGCATGGACGCAAAACAACACTTTGTTGGATCGAACAAAAAGATGTTCGAACACCAACGAATATACCTCAGTCTGTAAGTACATACACCAGAAAATCCCGTTATTACGGGTGTGCTAGCAAACCACCCCGCAGATACTAAAATTCCACGGAGCCGTGGCTTGCTTAGACGGTTCCAGAGGCTACCAGAAGCAAGGGGACGGTGCGCTAAGCTGTGTAAATCTGGAGAAGTAACAGGAAATGTTATTCCTACCGGCGGTATTGAAAGCTAGCAGATTGCTAGCAAGCCAATAATAACTGGGTTTATTGTTATTTATATTTCTTAAGCAATTATTTTCGAGGTAATGACGGTCGAACCGAACAAGCCTACGAAATGTTTACTGCCTCCAAGATTTCAACTGTACGTCTACGGTCATCCCCTTCTGGGTAAAAACACTAGTACAACAGAAAATAGCACATGGGTTTAATGAAACGAGAACCTCTATAAACCCCTTCTGTTTTTAACAACTGCCGAAAATCAGCATAAAAGCAAAACAAATGCTACAAATTAGCTATTATTACAGTACATCATGCAAAACAATTCCTTGAACGTGCAGATAGAAACAAACAAAAGATACACTTACCCAAAGCTAGCAATCTCTTCCGATCACAGTTTCTCGCATCCCATGAACAGAGGCTGCCAGACTTTTCATCAGGAAATAAAACTGAAACAAAATAAATACGATCTTAGGGTCCTAAAACACATGCTTAGGCTAACTGTTCATGGGTAGACTCTATGGTCGTGAATAAAACGATTTAATATTTGATACTGTAAAGAGCTTCCGGCTCCTATCAGCACCGTCAGTAATATTTAACATTACTTTCATTCACTCCGTGAAAACCTCTTACATTACACTGCATGAGTTTTATCTACAAAATTTAGGTTTAACAGAGTACATTTTGGGATGAAGTTCGTACATGAGCTTACAGTAGTTGCGAACATGTTTAATATGAAATATATCCGGTATATACGCCT